GGAGGTGTAATCGTAATTACAAGTGATCCTCTATGCTCAGGACTTGATCAGGAGGTGTAATCGTAATTACAAGTGATCCTCCATGCTCAGGACTTGATCAGGAGGTGTAATCGTAATTACAAGTGATCCTCCATACAAAGATAGCAATATCTGGTCAAGTATGAATAGATAGTTCATTCATAGTTTCATTCTTTTGAAGTGCTTATTTTCCAAAAAATTAAAATAAACCCTTTTCGAGTCAGGAAAACGACGTTTTAGTAGGTACCGTTGTTAATCGGCATGGATATCTTCGCATGGAGGATCATTTGACATTACGCTTTCAGTCCCTTAAACTTCAAATCAAATAAAATCATGTTTTTCAATGTTGAAATAATATTCTTTAAATTAATTTAGATTTTGGGTTTGGATTTAATCTTAATTTTGATTATGGATTTGATTTTGGTTTGTGAATCCGATTTGGATTTTGAATTTAATTTCAAGTCTGATTGTATAGCATTGGGCTCCTCATACTTTTTTGATTTAATCATTGTTTCTTAAAACTCAAATAGATCATCAAATACAATTGGTGGCAAGAGAGAAATGAACCAATTATACACGACGTCACAAGTGTCAAATATAACAAGGAAAACGAAATTGTCTCACATTAGTTGGCATGTTTTCCAAGATTAAATAAAAAAGTGTTAAAACAGAAACTAAAAAACACATAATATAGAGTATACAAATTCTAACTGATCTTCACACTATTGACTCTAAATTCTGTTTCAAAATCAACAGCAATTCGATTGAATCAGGAGTTAATTTTGGTATTGGAAAAAGTAAAGGAACTGAGTTCCCAGTTTTAAAACAATAAAAAGGTGCTTAAGCTGTCGTCAGGGGTAACCTTTGAACAGGACTTGGAGCAATGGATGATAAATATAACCAAAGAAAATAAAAATTTGGATTTTAAGATGAACATTTTAAATGAAATAGAGAATTTGGATTCTAATGTGGTTAAATATGAAGTGAAAAACGGAATAGATTCGTTAATAAGCAGAGTCGGTATTATTCTTTATAAATATTTAGAACACCATCTCTACCAGTCTGTTGATTTAGAAATTCAAGAAATTAAAAAAGAGTTAAATGGAAATTGTTTTTTTTAACGTAACTAATGCAAGTGTTCCAAGGGAAATACAAGAAAGACTGAATCTATTTAGGTAAAAAATATGTTTCGTTTTTCAAGTTAAACAAAACAAAAGAAATAACTCAATTCAATTTGGAAGTTTCATCATTGTTTACTAGTGTTCTTCAAAACGAACTGAAATATAAAATCCCAATTCCTCACAAAAACATAAAATCTCAACTTATACAGTTAAAAAAGTGTATCTTTGTTAAAAGAACCCCAGCTTTAAAAATATGGTAAAGATCTTTTTAAAAGTATACGAAGAGGTAAAATCTGATTTTTAAGAAAGCTTAAAACTATCAGATTTTTGTATTTTCTCAGCCTTGAAAACATTTGAGCAATCATTCAACATTTGCGGAGACAAAATTATAATTGAAGCGGACAAAAATATAGGATATGTGCATTAATAAATCTGATTTATTTGAACAATACTCCAAAATTAATAAACAGCAACATTTTGGGTCAACGAGTATATCGGAAGAATGGTATATAAAAAGTATTCTTAATTATATTCAAGAAGCCAAGGCAGGTCTACCAAATGAACTTACAAACATAATTTAAAGAAAAAGATTTTTTTATGGGAAGAGAAAGTGTCCGAAATAGGGGTTTTAAGGTTGCAGCCGAAAGTTTTAAAACCGGAAAGATTAATGGTTCAATTTTTAACATCAATAGTAATTAAAAGTTTAATGCGGGATCCAATAAGAAGCATTCAAAAAATACTAGATAAAATTTTTAATCATCTTTTGTTTCACACTTAACAGGAATTTATCTGTAAATTTGGGTTTTTCTCCCCATTAGTCACGATGGGGTTCAAGAAGCTATTTCACGGATTAAACAATCCACATTGAGCTTGAAGGAGACTTCAGTGATTTGTACTCAAATGGAGATATACCTGGTACAAAACTGGAGCAAACGATCTTCACAATTAAGAAAATACGAAGAAAATTAGAATTCTAATTTTCACTTCCAAAAATCAGCTCTATCAAGGTATTCTTTATTGAACTGAATTATAAATGTTAATGCTGCTTAATAAAACAAAAGGAATAAATGGAAAATTTTAATTCATTGCAACTTTAATTTTTATTTTTGATACACATGAGGATTAGACAGATATGGAACGGTGGAACTTGACTTGTTATTTCTTCTTGTAAATGTTCTTTTTAATTAATTTTATTTACAAAGGTACCCTGCAAAACAAGGGGTCCAGTGCCCCTTTTAGTGAAAGGCACATTCCACATTCCACAATGAATATTATTTTTTAATTTTTTTTTGCACAGGTGAACCCGTTCCAGACAGGTCTCTTCGTCATCAATCCAAAATCCTTTTCCACCATCACTTGACTGGATTTTATAGCCTTTTTGTATCAAATTCAAGTATTTTTAATTTGGGGTATTTATTCTTGTACCTCATTAAAATAATAGAAAAATTTTAACAGACTGGCTCAGTTCTGTAATCATAATTTCCATTTATGCTCGAGACCAAAGTAACCTATAGGATGATCATTTTAGGAAAGTATTGAAAGTCTTCTGAGTGTTTCTTTGTTTGAGCCAGTTTGTTAGCCATGATAAGCCGGGAGGTGCCGACCATAGCACTAACGATCGGGATCTGCTTTTTCGAACAAACTCTGTCCTTTTTACAGGATTGAATCCTGGGTACTTTTACGTTAAGTAAACTAGGTTTTCAAAAAATGTTGAAATGTTAAAAATGTTTAGTGTAATGATATAACTGTAGAGCTAGAGAACAATGTTCGGACTGTAGAAATCAGAGAATCTTTAAAGGTATAATGTTTAAAAATGTTTTATGTTTTTTTGATCAGATCTAAATATTTAACCAAATGACTTTTGTTCATGAAACTCTATGCACACCTTCTCAAAGTCAATTCTATCATGCATGGTGCGACGGAGCGCCCATTTAATTACCTATTAAGATAGAAAATCATATGATAAATGTTTATTTAATAATTCAAAATGCAAACATCAAAGTATTAGCTTTTCTCCAAATTATTAGCTCCATCTTCATTAGCACTTCTGAATCCAAATGGTCTGCCATATCCGTTGTTAAAGCCATTGTATCCATATCCGTTGTTATATCCATTGTATCCATATCCGTTGTTATATCCATTGTATCCATATCCGTTGTTATATCCATTGTATCCAAAGTTGTTGTTGTATCCNAAACAATAATTCTGAAAACGTATCCACCCCCAAAGTAGGAGTTTTGAACGTCGAATTTGCGCTCAAACTCAGGATTTAAAGATCTTTAAAAAGTTTAATATGTCTCAAATACATCCGAAAGAAGTTTTCCACAACACTGCATACTCAGTTCAACTACCTTACATAGCCTTAAGCAAGATACATTTACTATTAATTTTGTTATCCAAAGAGAATTGGGTATATATACAGTGATAACCAGAAAACTCAGGAATGGGAAGTCGACTTTTAAACTCGATGAACATAAGACACCGCAATTGTGCAGCGTAAACGTAGACCCAATTCACTTAATAAGTGATTTAATAACTTAGTAGTTAAGCTATTTGTTTTTAAACGACATGAAATGCACTTACTATTCTACAGTTTTCTGGTTATAATTGTATTTAAATACATATATTTTCGTGTTGAAACTTGTGTGTCCCTAAAATCGGTACTCGATCATCCGACCTAGAGGAAACTGACCTACGGGTTTTCCGACATAAAATTGTATTGCATGTTAAATCGGTTATGTTGTGTTTTCATAAAATTCGTTGACATTCTTCTTTAAATCCCTTGAATGATATACAGGGCGTCAAACCTTGTAGAAATTCAATTCGTATAGAAACCGCAACATGGCGTAATTTCCGGGAGACTATCTTTTATATTTTTGAGAAATTAAATAATCAGTGTAAAGTAGATATAATTTTCATAAAACCCTTTTATTTAAATGGTAAAACGGAATTTTATGAAATCATAATCATAATTTATGTAAAAATGACCTCAACACAGTTTTTGGCAGAAATTTATTTTCTATTGCAAATGATTGTTCTGTAAATCCTTCGGATCTTAGAAAAATATTAGTTAAGAAACAAATGAAATATTTTGATGTCCCATTGGAACATGAATGGAAATTTCCGGTTTTACAAGAACTTTTAAATACAAGAATGAATAATTTATATGTTGAAGGATTCGATGATTACGTAATAACTGAAATGATAAATATGTTATGTAGTGAGTAAAAATCAATGTTTTCTATTTGTGCATAATTTTGCATATTTTTTCTCTTTTCTTTTGGAAACCTGTATTTTCAAAAAAAAATNTTCCCAAATGTATAATTTCCAAAGCGGCAACTTTCCAGAGGTTTGGTTAGGCCCTCTGAGACGCAGCAGGCTACAATTGGGGCCGAGCGCTGTGGCTAGGATGGGCTAGGGGGCCGAGCGCTGCGGCCACGGGTTAGGTTAATTCAAGACACTTTCAGGGCCGAGCGCTGCGGCTAGGTGGCCGAGCGCTGCGGCCACATGTCTTACATTTAAAATCCATGTACAAAATTAAAGAAGGGGAAGGGGGGTGGGGTCCAAAAATCGTTCTCTAGGAAATTACCTTCATTCAGACAAAGTTATATAAGAGTACCTTTATGAATCTTACATGCCACTCTAAGGTCACTTTAAGGAATATTTGACAAGAAAGAGATGTTAATTTTAAGATCTTTTTTGAAGGTAGAACCAATTTGGAAATTGGAATATATGGTGTTAAAAATTTTGAGCAAGTTTCTTGTAAATTAGGGGTGGATCAACGACAACGCAAAGAGTCGTAACTTAATTTCATGTTTATTGGGACACTCTGTACTCTCTAACTAAGAAAATTAAACAGAGTAAGTTGGAGCAAATTAATCTATTATATATTAATAATCTTCTGGCTAGAATACATCTACGTTTATCAAGAAAAAGTATACCGGAGGGATTCATTTATTGTCGTCTTCTAACTAAATGTTTTCTGTCTTTCAAAATGTACACAGAGTTACCCACAAAGGATGAGACTTTGATATTGACCTGGAAGAAATCTTGTTCTTGTCCTTTGTAGGCAACCCCGTTTCTTAAATACTTATTAAAAATAGTTTGAATATTACATATTTTACTTATATGAAGAAATTGGACCACACATTTATAAGGCACCAAAATCTTTTTGTATAAATAAAACTTTTGATTTTATAATTTCATATTTAACACTGATGTTCACAAGTCACAGTCTTGAAAAATACATATTTTGAGTTTTTAAAAAACAAGGAGGGGAGGAAGGCCAGCCACAACAATTTCTTGTCCGAGCCACATTCTCATTTTCTCGTCTGAACCACCTCGAAATCCTCGTCCTTCGATTATTATGTGCTGAGAAGTTACTAATTCTTGAATATATAACTTTCTTTAACAATCTGGCCACGTTAGGGCATAAAATATGGATAGACTAAAGTATTGCAATGATAAAATCATGTTGGAATCTTTAGAGACATGAGAATGATGTCAATCTTTATTAAGGTAAAACTTAAAACTCTTCTGCCTCCGTAATGGCCAACCTTTGCGACATGAAATAAAGAGCAAAATATTTAGCATTCCTATGCCTATCATTTTCCCCATGGAACCACCCGGACAAAATCTATGGTTTTTACTATAATTAAGAAAAAAGACTTAAGTTCTATAATCTCGGAATTATTTTCGGCATTTTCACTAGGAATATCTGAAAATGCGCGTAAAAAAGGTGAACATTTTTAAGGACATAGTACTCAAAAACTTTAATTCAATTGAAGCTATTTTTTTCGAATTACTAAAATTCAATATTTCATTTATGCCCTAACGTGGCCCGATTCTTAAAAAATTGTTTTATCTTGGAGGACTAGATACTTATAAAAAATAATATTGAAAGGACGAGAATTTAGAGGTGGCTAGGACGAGAAAATGAGGAGTCTGGTATATTGTATAATACATTTAAAGTTTTATCCTAACAAATAAATCAAATTTTCACTGGGTAAAATAGCACTATTGGGAGAAAAAGGAGAGCAATTATATTTTGTACATTCAAGTGTATAAGAACTGCAGACATATTTTTTTCATGAAAATATTTGGANACACAAAATACATGAGCCTGTTCGGTTCAGACGTTTTGATATTTGGATAAAAAATGAACTTAAAAAATAATCATTTCTAACCGATGTCTTATTTGTCAAAAGATTAAAATAAATTAATATTATCGTTTTTCTACTAATTTTTAATACCGGTTCTAAATAGGCGTATATACCATGTTTTTAAAATCCCAATTCTGGCTCAAAACTGCCAAGATCCGGTTCACAGATGACCACATCCGGTTTGCTGAGTGATAAAAGATTTTGTACATCCGATCTTTTTCTGGATTTCCGTTTCCGGTTATTTGGTTTATCCGTTACAACGGGAGTATTGTTTATGATAGAGTGAGATATCTCCTTATAAGAGTTCAGATCTAAACTGGGTCTGCTTGAGTCACCGGGACATTTAGTAAAAGCATGATTTCGTTCCACGTGAGTTCTAAATAGAGAAAGTTGAGCTGTTACATAATTACACAGCTTACAGATAAAATTAGCCCCTGAGTGGGAGATCTCTGTGTGTCGAACCAACTGGGCAGGATAGGCGGCAACATAATCACAATGATCACAGATATAGCCGATTTTGTCGTGTTTTCTTCTCTTGTGTTGTTTTAAAGATGATGAACCGCGAGCAATATGTTCACACAGATCACAGGGAAAAGCAGAGTCTTCATGTTTAATTTCTTTATGTCTTCTTAACGTTGCTAATGTGGTGGCAGCATACTGACATTGATCACATGGAAATCGTACTCCTTCATGTTTAACTTTCTTGTGCGCTTTCAGAATAGATATTGCCGACGCAGAATAGTCACATTTATTACAAGGGAATCTGACAAGTTCATGCTGGCTTTCCATGTGCTGCTTCAAATCTTTCCCTCGAGTGCCGATAAAATCACATTGATAACATGGAAATTCATTCTCCTCCATTTTATATTAGTATAATCTCGCAGGGATTCTCATTAAAACCTAAAATAAAAAAATATATATATTACTCTCTGTAGTGCCCAGGATAAATCATCATAAATCAACAAGTCCCAATTTGAGGAAAACATAAATCAACATGTCCCAATTTGAGGAAAACATAAATCAACATGTCCCAATCTGAGGAAGACATAAATCAACGTGTCCCAATCTGAGGAAAACATAAATCAACGTGTCCCAATCTGAGGAAAACATAAATCAACATGTCCCAATCTGAGGAAAACATAAATCAACATGTCCCAATCTGAGGAAAACATAAATCAACATGTACCAGTCTGAGGAAAACATAAATCAACATGTCCCAATCTGAGGAAAACATTCACACAAAAATATTTCTACGTTAAGCTATGTAAATAAGACCAGCAATACGCTAAGGTATGAAAGTTTTCATGAAATAAATTAAAGTAGATGAGGACATGTGACTGAAATTACAAACACAAATTCCCATTTTCTTTTCTTCTCAGGTCTAAACAAAAACTCATAAACTTTCCTTTATTTAGCTGCAATCATGAAAGTATGCAAAAATAATGAATATAAAATAGAGGACTAAGATTTCTTGAAAAATTTCTCTAAAAAACATTTATAAAAAAATCTGAAAAGTTTTGAATTCTCATAATTAGACATGGATATTACGAACCTGTTATATTATCTTCTGTATAATTTAAAGGCGTAAATTCAATTCACGAGAATATCTGCCAGATTCACAACAGTACCCTTGTAATCAATATCTGCGAGCTATGACAAAATAGTCGTATTTATTAAGAAAAATTTGTAAATCTACTCCCCCCTCCCGGAAAAATTCCTAAATACGTGCCCTGAGTCTACCTGATATAAGATTTCTATTCGAGTTCTCGCATTATTATATGTCTGAAACGAAAAAATCATTTTTCAGTTAATTTATTTGATTTCTGAAAAAAAAACAATATTTGTCAATGGTAAAAATACTTAAACCGGCATTATTATTGTTATGAGAGACTGCCCAGTAATTCTTAAAAAGGAAAAATTTAAATATAAAACATCTGCTCTTTAGTCTCTCTCGAGTTTCTGAAGTTTATATTGAAAATTTTACAATCTAATAAATTTCTTGTGTTTATTTTTGATGTTTTAAGAATATAATATTAAGATCGGACATAAAATATTAAAGTGAAAAATACATATTTATTTTAAATACATATCACAAAATTGATGTTGTTTGTAGCAACCTACCCAGGCATAACATAAATGTAAGGAGTTAAATATTGAATTGATCTAAATGTTGACTGAAAATAAAGTATTTCAAAGAAGGAATGGATTGTAAGAAAAGATTGAATTTTAGAACTAAAAGCCTTTAACCTAAATTAATATTGCTAACAAAATAAATAAAAAATCAGAAAATTATTGAAATTTTTTAAAAAAAATTCTTCCTAATAAATTTGAAAAAAATGGGAAGGAAATAATGTAGATGTTAAATAAAAACCTCAGCATTAAAAGATGTTTCAGTAAAAATACGATGTTCACAGGTCGAGGGCAAATATAGCTACAAATGTAAAGTTAGTATAAAAATATCAATTATTGTCCTAATTATTAGGAGTACATAATATTGCACAATATATTATCAAAAATATAAAATTTCATAAAAAAATATAACATTTTGACACAAATGGGAATGGTTTTGATAAATAATAAATGCAATGTTAAAAGCATCAGTTTGATCAAAGCTGCGGTACATGATCCTCCCCTCTTCTATTGTTCAGGGTGTCCTATTAAGAAAATTTGATCAGTTACGAAAATTATCAAGTTGCATATGAATTTTAATGTCAAAATTGTGAAAATTCATAGATTTCATTTCAGCTTACTCTCTTGAAAAGATTTCATTTCAGCTTACTCTCTTGAAAAGATTTCATTTCAGCTTACTCTCTTGAAAAGATTTCATTTCAGCTTACTCTCTAGAAAAGATCCAACATGTCTAAAACCTATATTACACTCGCTTTGCCAACGGGAGCCATTTTCTTCTAATTTAATAATTTTGAACCATCCACATGACCTTAACTGCGGTATATAACGGTATATAACTTAAACAAAAACATGCATTTGCGCATTTTAGTATTGAATATTTGCAGATTTTTTAAGTACTGAAGAAACAGCTTATTGAGAAAAATATAGAACACCCTGTACAATAGCAAAACTACAATAAATGAAATTGTTTTTAATACAAAATGTAAATTAAATGCATTCGTAAATATCTAGTTTGTTTAAACTGAGGTACAATTAAGTTTGGTATAAATACAGTAAAAGACTTTTTTTAAAGAAAATGCGTGTTAAATGTACTTCAAAAATGTTTTTTTTAATAAATGAATATTTTAATAAATGAATATTTTCATATTTTTTCTTTTAATATATTTAGTTTGTATACCATTGCAATACTTAATCTGTAAAGAAAGGGCTACTTTTTTCATAGATTTTCGTTGTAACCTTCAAAAGGTTTTAAAATAAATTTACAACATTTTTTATTCGCTTTAGAAGTTTCTCAAATAATTCAGATTGAATAACACGGATCCAGATCCACATTCAAAATTTTAGTGCCCTGATAATTCACTATTGTTATTCAGAGGGGTGTTAGGATCTTCTTCTAGAAGGCGTTATTTACTCCAAGGAGGACGGTATGTTCTTCTAGTAGGGTGTTATGTTCTCTTCTTGAAAAGTAGTAAGACGACCTTTAATCTTATGAAGTTTGTCTGTCTCCATCTTAGCTCTGAACAAAAATTCAACGTAGTGGAAATGTCAGGAGACGTATTTTGAAAAATATATCCCTACTTACTGTTATCTTAATTCTTTAAGAAGTTTTACCTGACTAGACAAGTAAATATATCTCTACAGGTAGTACAGGTGTAGTTTACCTGACTAGACAAGTAAGTATATCTCTAGAGGTAGTACAGGTGTAGTTTACCTGACTACACAAGTAAGTATATCTCTACAGGTAGTACAGGTGGAGTGTTTACTTGACTAGACAAGTAAGTATATATCTACAGGTAGTACAGGTGTAGTTTACCTGACTAGACAAGTAAATATATCTCTACAGGTAGTACAGGTGTAGTTTACCTGACTAGACAAGTAAGTATATCTCTACAGGTAGTACAGGTGTAGTTTACCTGACTAAACAAGTAAATATATCTCTACAGGTAGTACAGGTGTAGTTTACCTGACTACACAAGTAAGTATATCTCTACAGCTAGTACAGGTGGAGTGCAAGGAACCAGGCTGGGATATATATTTACCTGACTAGACAAGTAAGTATATCTCTACAGGTAGTACAGGTGGAGTGCAAGGAACCAGGCTGGGATAGTTTCAATGTTTGTAATTTCTCTACATCATTCTTCGTCATTGTTTTAGATCTATATAAACAATTGAATGTCTTGGATCTATATAAACAATTGAATGTCTTAGATCTTTATAAACAATTGAATGTCTTAGATCTATATAAACAGTTGAATGATTTAGATCTATATAAACAATTGAATATCTTAGATCTATATAAACAATTGAATGTCTTAGATCTATATAAACAATTGAATGTCTTAGATCAATATAAACAATTGAATGTCTTAGATCTATATAGACAATTGAATGTCTTGGATCTATATAAACAATTGAATGTCTTATATCTATATAAACAATTGAATGTCTTAGATCTATATAAACAATTGAATGTTTTAGATCTATATAAACAACTGAATGTCTTAGATCAATATAAACAATTGAATGTCTTAGATCTATATAAACAATTGAATGTCTTAGATCTATATAAACAATTGAATGTCTAAGATCTATATAAACAATTGAATGTCTTAGATCTATATAAACAATTGAATGGATGTCTGAATGAATGAACGCATGGATGAAGTAATATGTATGAATAAAAGAAAGGATATTTGAATGAAAGAAAGAATCAATACTGAAAGAAAGAATCAATGACTGAAAGAAAGAATCAATGACTGAATGAAAGCCTTAATGAATGAATAAATGAACATGTGAAAGAATGGATGAATTAATGAATTAATGAATTCACGAATAATGGAATGAATAAATGAATAAATGAATAAATGAATAAATGAATAAATGAATAAATGAATAAATGAATGCACCTGACTAGTTTAGGTCTAGAAGGGGCAGTTTGTTGGATGGATGAAGGAACCTTTAACAAACAAAATTAAATAACAAACTTTTTCTTCAATCTATAATTAATTTCTAATTTTAGAACATGAACATGAACATGAACATAAACATGAAAATGAACATGAGTACCTGGGGAGGATTACGCAATGAGTTTCTGTTCCATCCAGATCTCTCGAGTCCAGATCTAAACATATTATTCATAAGAGGACAAAAAAAAAACATCAACAAAAATCAGTGGCACAACTAGCACATTTTTCAGGAGGAAGGGGGATGGGGGAATACAATTTTCAAAGGGTTTAGGGAGGCTACCCGTTGCGTCCCTGACAAAAATGTTTGAAATTATTTCAAGTTTAATTTAAATGAAATCAAATCAAACTAATACAGTTCCACCTAAAGTATATGTACAGGGTGGCCAAAACTTTTTTGAAAAAATCCGTACAAGTTGCAATAAAACTTTATCG